TGTGCAGTTGCATCTCCTCCTGCTGTTGCCTTTGCCGCTGCTGCCGTTGCTGCTGTTGGAGTCTTCCCATTCCAAGGGATGATGGGCAGCTGCCACAGGTCCTTGATGCAGCTGGTCTCCTCTTCCAGACTCCACAGCACCTTCTTCCCAAGCTTAGCACGGCAGCTGGTTGGTCCAAAGGTCACTTCGGCCTTGCTCTTCTGCAGTCGCCGCACAGAGAGAAGGTTAGCAGACAAACCTTCAACCAGCAGAACATTCCCAAGCCCCACAAGCTCCCCATTAGCTCCCTTAACCTTGGCATTTCCAACACCAATCACAGGGAGCAAAGCACCTGACGCTGCTGCCACATACTTAATCTTCCCAGGGGGTTTTACCTCATCAAGCAAATCTGCCCGTGGGTCATGTGACTGGTGCAACCTGAATCAATCACCCAGTGCGTGAGAGGGTGCATCACAACCTTTCCCACAGATCCCACATCACCCTCATGCCCATGCACATCCTCAACCATGAGAAACATCCAGGATAGGTATTACCTTGTGCACCTTCACCTTGTGCACCTGAGCCTTGCACAGCGCCACCTTGTGCGCGTTCACCACTGGGCGGCTTCATGCCTGGAGGTGCCCATCCCTCCGACTGCTGAAGCACTTGAACCAAGGATGCCCGACCTTCTTGCAGTACCAGCAGGTGCCCTCCATTCTGGTACTCCCCCTGCCACTGGAGCTCCCATGCCCCTCATTATAGTCACCTCGGCCTCTACCTCTGCCAAAGCTCCTCCCACGGCCTCGGCCTCTCCAACCCCCTCTTCCTCTGCCGCGCCCTGCAGCTCCATACCCCTCAGCAGTCTTAGTGGCAGCACCACCTCCCACATGGCGTCTGCGGAAGTCCTCCTGCAGAATCTGCTGCCTTAGCCACTCAGGTGTCCATTGTTCTTGCTGAGAGTTGAGGGTGGGGATGAGGTTGTCCCAAGAGTTGTCCAATACCGAGATGATTTTGGTGCACTGCTGCAGCTGAGATACACTGCTGCCCACTGCTGCCATCCTTGCATAGGTGTCCTTGATCTTGTCAAGGACCGGCTTCACATCGTCCCCCTGGTCACATGCCAGATGGCAGCAAGTTCCTTCTCGAGCATGATCACCATCGGGAGAGTGTTGGGCTGAATCACATCGCGTTAGTAATTTCCACGCCCTTGGACCCGAATCATCCGCTTCCACAAGATCCTTGATGTGCTCGAACATCGCCTTGTTGACCGATTGAGGATGAGGTCGAAGAGCACCGCGCTTTTTTCAATCCACCGTTCACGTGGTTCGCCTTCTTCCGGCATCTTCTCTTCCCCAACAGCAATCTTCAGTAGCTTGTAGCGTTTGAAGGCACTCCTCATCCGCCCGCTCCATTCCTCATAGTTGGAGCCATCCAAAGCTTCAACTTTTGATGGCGGCAGCTCACTTGTCTTCTCAGGTACAGGCTCCTCTTCCATTAGCATCTCTCCCCTCTCATTCATCTTCTCCTTGAGAAATGACGAATTTCAGCTCCCCTTTGCTGTCCACACTCAGCTCCCTCGATATTTTCACAAGTGTCGGCGTCCACGGAAATTTCGACAGAGTTTCCCTTTAGCGGAAGACACATCCAACCTTTAGAACACCACTCAGGCATACCCACAGGCCATGGTGGGTCTAGAAGGGTCTTCACACTTCTATAGACTCCTCTCAATGTCCTCAATATGGCTAGGTAAACTTAGGAACTAGAATTACTCAAAATATAAATCCGAAATTCTGGACAGAAAAGCCATCTTCACAAGAAACGACATCGACAAAAAACTAGCCGTTGGAATGTCGCAAAACTTGGATATGTTGTAGCTCTTAATTTCAGCTACCGTTCCCAATTTGAATCACGTTGATTGATGAAGTATTTGCGACGCTATGGCTTTCGACGCATTAGAGGGTAAGCTGTAGGAGGAGAACTTAACTGAATCTCAAAAGTTCAATTAAAGTTCAAGAATCTCACAAGGAATTAGAGGAGCAAGAGAAAGGTTGGGATAGAAAAGAGGGATGAGAGGGAAGGTCCTAAGAGAGTCCCCAACCATAAGCACAAAGATTCCCTCTCTATAGGAACCCCATCTTTGATATTGTCCCTTCCCAACCAATCCAACCAAGTTGGCCACCCTTGCCAATCTAGCTTGGTGGTTCCCAACCAATTTTGCAGCTGCTACAGTAGAGTGACGAATTTCCCCAACCCCAAAGGTCCCAACTCCATATAGAGTCACCCCACAACTTCACTTTGTAACCGCCGCAATTGTAACGCAAGCTCATGAACTTTGAATCTTCATAGCTTGCCCGTTCTTGCTCCGATTAAAGTGATTCTCGTTGTGTCGGAAAGATCTTCTCAAGATCTATCACAAAATACCTGCTGAGACAGAATAACACAAAACACATTCCCAAACTCCAGAACACACACCACACAAATTCTTTCACACACTGTCAAACCATACATGCGAATTGAAACAAGGGATGGGAGGCAGAGAGAATGTGATAGCATATGATGACATCACACAACACTTATCCCGTGGCTTGTCGCTACGCGTATCCACCAAGGTCTCCCAGTGCTGCAGCTTCACTCCGACAATGGTGGTGAGTTCGCCTCTGGTTCCCTTGGTCGGTTTTGTCATGCAGAGGGCATCACCACGACGTACACCCCGCCGGACTCCCCTCAGCAGAATGCAATCGCTGAGCTACGCATCGGTTTGGTCATGGAGGTGGCTCGTACCTCCATGATCCAAGCAGGTGCACCCCATTTTCTGTGGTCGTTCACCGTTTGCTACGCTGCTCACCAGCTAAACATATGGCCGCACTCGCAGCGGCCGAAGGTTTCGTCGACACTTATCTGGGCCGGGTCCCCTGGTGACACAAGTGAATTCCACGTCTGGGACTGCCTTGCTCACGTTCGTGCCTCTAGTGTTACAGGATCGAATGAGTCAAGGAAAAGTTGCACTATCCATCAGTACAAGGCGCTTTTATACTTCCAAGGTACATTAGGTAACCAGGTTTATCCTATCTAAAGGGAATAGACCCTTCTAGAAATAGAATCACCCTGCGTATAGCCACGCGATGCTATTGGCTTTAAAGGACTACGGCAGGATTATGCTAGATATAGCGCGCCAATACATCTCGAGCCTAGTCGGTGATATAATTATAATCAGAGGATAAACCAAAGGATTTTGGAAATGGAGGAAGAGAAATCCAAATGAGATGAGATGAGGATCAAATGAATCGGGATAAAAAGACGAGCGAGATAAATGGGAAATACGAAATAAGAAACAAGTGGATCGGGGTCGCACTCGCACACTTCCCCCCCTCAAAGCTGGGTGGTAAAAATAACACCCTGCTTGACAAGGTAGTCGCGAAGAGAACGACGAGCGTTATCCATGTCGGATTCAGGGACTCTGCTATCCTCAAAAGGATCATAACCCTTCCAACGGATGAGAAGCTCCACTGTGCCATTCCGTCGACGGCGGTGAGCAAGCACGGACTCGACCTCGTACTCGTAGCAAGCATGGACGAGGACGGGCGGCGGCGGTTGGCGTCCGGTGAAGACCGTGTTGGGATCTCGGTAGGGCTTCAAGAGTTGGACATGGAATGCGTTGTGAATCTTCCAGGTAGCTGGCAGGCCTAAGCGGAAGCTAACAAGAGTAACATGTGCTTCAAGAAGGAAAGGATTGCAGAAGCGAGTCGTAGTTTGGATGGGAGATGGCCGATGTCAAGATTGCGGGTGTCGAGGAGAACTCGGTCTCCCACTGTGATAGTGTGGTCTGTTAGGTGGCGATCGGCCTGGCGCTTATGTTGTTGCTGAACGTCGAGAAGGCGCTTGTGGGTCCGATCCCAAAGCTGGTGCATGAATGTGATGAAGGCATGTGCGGGTTGGACTGTCGCGGATACGGTTGATTGCTGGGGTGTGAGTGGGTGGCGTCCGTAATAGAGAAAGAATGGCGTCTGTCCAGTAGCAACGTGAGTGGTGCTGTTGTAGGCAAACTCCATAATGGTCAGATGCAAGTCCCATTTAGCGATTTCGTCCTTGCATGCTGCACGGAGGAGTTGCTCTACAATTTGGTTGAGACACTCGGTCTGCCGCCTCACTGCGGATGGTAGGCGGATGACATGGTGACTTTGGTCTCGAGCAGAGACATTAGTTCATTCCAGAATTTACTGGTGAACTTGGGGTCTCGGTCAGAGATGAGTGTGGTCGGAATGCCATGTTGTGAGATGATGTAGCGAACAAAGAGTTGTGCCGTCTCCTTGGTGCGTGCTGTTGTGTGTGTCGGGATGAAGTGTCCCATTTTGGAGAACTTGTTAATGACGACGAGGATCGCGTCATGACCGCTTGTGGTAGTTGGTAGCCGGGTGATGAAGTCTAGGCTTACCACTTACCATGGTTGTTCTGGAACAGGAAGAGGTTGTAGCAGTCCCGCCTTTTTTTGCTTGCTGCTCTTCATCCGCTGGCATGTAGCACACGAGGTGATGAAGCTCTGCACTTTGTCTGCCATTTGGGACCAGTAGTAGTGTTTGGCGATACCAGAGAGCATCTTGTTGCTACCGAAGTGTCCTGCATATAGGATATCGTGGTATTCTTTGAGTAGTAACTGGTGCAAAGGAGGGTAATTGGGTACCTAGATTTTCGTTGATCCTTTCCGGTACGCAATGGCGTTGTCCCACTGTAGCAGGTGTCGCATTTCTACCAAGGGAATTTCGGGGTCGGTGGTGTACCCGTGTGTGAAGAGTCCCTTGAGTAGTGGGTTCATCCCTTTGACCTGGATAGCGGCAACGTGTGCAGGCCGGCTAAGAGCATCAGCTTTGTTTTTATGGCCAGGCTTGTACACGATGTCATAGTGGAAGTGCGTCTCGAGGAAGTCGATCCACCGGACCTGCCACCTGGAGAGACTTGGTTGTGTCTTCAAATATTTTATGTTGTAATGGTCAGTGTGGATGGTTGTTTTTCGTCCACGTTTTGAAGGCGATGAAAATGGGAAGGGCCTCCTTGTCGTGTATCGGGTAGTTTAGTTTTGCCCCTTGTAATTTCTTGTTGAGGTAGGCAATTGGTTGCAGTCCATTCCCCTGGTCTTGCATCAAGACTGCTCCCACTGCCTCGTCGCTAGCTAGCATCATATTTGATGATGTAGTCGCGTTTGGGGTCTGGCAAGATGAGTACGGGTGCCGACGTGAGTGCTTGTTTTAGCTGTTCCACGGCTTCCTGGTGTCTTGGTTCTAGTTATAGGGCGTGTTGTTCTTTAGCAGATTCGTGAGTGGCGCGGCGATTTTTACGTATTGTGGCACTGCTGCAACTCCTTCACGTTCTCAAGTGTCTTCCACGTGCGTACGACTTCGATTTTCTTGGGGTCGACGTGAACTCCTTGAGCGCTTACTATATGTCCGAGGAATTGGACCTTTTTGAGGGCAAAGTCGCTCTTGGACATTTTGACGTAGAATCGTTCTCGTCGCAGAATTTCGAAGAGGCGTCGCATGTGCTTTACGTGTTGCCTTATATTGCACAAATAGATGAGGATGTCGTCCAGATACACCACCACATTCGTCCAAGAGTGGGCATAGAATGTGGTTCATTTCTGCTTGGAACATCGCGGGTGCGTTGGTGAGTCCGAATGGCATTACCAGATACTCGTACGACCCATACCGAGTTCGGAAGGCAGTTTTGTGAATGGAATTGTCCGCCATTCTTATCTGCCAGTATCCGGAGCGCAGATCTAATTTGGACAATACCGTGGCTCCCCAAAGCTGGTCAAGCAGGTCATCGATTCGTGCAATCGGGTATTTGTTCTTGATGGTCTGCTTGTTGAGAGCTTGGTACCGTAGTAGATGCAAATGCGTAGGCTTCCATCCGGTTTGGTGTGAAGAGTACTGGGGCACCGTATCGCGAAGTGGATGGTCACATGAGTCCTTTGGCGAGGGGATACTCGATCTGTTTCTTCATGTCGGCTAGTTCCGTGGGGCTGAGCCAATATGGTGCTCGGAATGTCAGCTTCAAACCTCGCTCCTCCACGATCTCGTGTTGGTGCGTTCGGTATGGCGGTAGCTTGTCTGGAAGGTCGTCGGGAAGAATGTCTTGGAACTTCTTCAGCAATTCTTTCTCTCCATCCCTTTCCACGTCTGCTGCTATAGCCAGAGACCCGGTGTTGGTTCGTTTTACGTCCTTCTCGAACCTTGCGAGTCTCTCCACGGGGATATCTCCGGTATCGTCCCAATTGGGTAGCTGGACTCTCATTCTGTTGTTGTAGATGCTTGCGGTGCGGTTTACCCAGTTGATCTCGGGGTTGAATTTCTTGAGGAAGTCTCGCCCGAAGATCAAGTCAAGCCCTTTAATGTTGGTGATGGGGAGGGCAGGTGTAAGAGTACGATCCCGTTCCATTCCTTTCTCCTTTC